CTTAGCCTCGCTTAGTTTGAGTGGCGTCGCCACAACAGTAATACCCTCGCCTCGCATTCTCATGGCCTCGCCATATCTCGGAGATTTCGAAATTTCGGCCCGAACGGAAGCTACAAAGGGTACACGTGTGCACACAAAAGGAAGATTAATCATTGAATGTCGAGTATTTGAATAGCGTTTTGCGTAAACTAATTCATGCGTGATCGGCCAAGTGCGATATATATATATAATTTTTTTTTTTTTCCGGAATTTTCAGAAAAGTCCACTTTCATCTCTGAAAGCACAAAAATAGTAAAACTAAAAATCAAGTCTGAGTCATGCTGAGTCAAAATTCAAAGACTAGAAGTGAGTTTTGAGACAAGTTATAAAGATGGGCGGCGAGGGGGCTTGCCGAATGTTCAGTGGGATGTCATTCCAAAGAGAGGGACCAGCAACGGAAAAGGCTCGATCCCCTCTGAGCCTTTGCTTAGTTCTTGGTACCTTGAATAATGTCTGGACCGCAGACCTGAGGCGTGTAGGGGCAGAAGAGCTCAGAGAGGTAAGGTGGAGTGAGGCCATTAAAAGATTTGAAAACAAATAATAGGATCTTAAAAAGAACTCTAAAATGTACAGTGAGTAAGCGAAGGGATGCCAGAGGAGGAGTTATGTGCTCCCTCTTACGAGTACCAGTCAAGAGGCGAGCAGCAGCAATCTGGACCAACTGGAGATGCTTAATGGAGGATTGGCTGAGTCCAAAGTAACGTGCATTACAGTAAATCAGCCGGGATGTGACAAAGGCAAGAGTTACTGTTTCAAAGTGCTAGTCATTACATTTCCCAGTTAATTTTTCACATTTATTAGAGAGCTTTATTTTTTGAAAACCTAATAAAAATATACACTGAACTCCCACTAATGGGCTAACTGCTATGTCGACAGACAAAAGCAGAGCAATTGGGTAACGCAGTTCAGATTAGCAGCAACAGCCACCACAGCAGCCACCCGGCCACCTCTATGGAATTGCTGTATCACTGGAAATCATGTATTTTTCTTCTGCGTCTTCTTAGGGAATCTCTTTCCAGGCCTTTGACGAACCGTCCCAAGAACTTCAAGAAAGATGGTAAAATCTGCCAGCTCAGGGCTCAAGAGGACAGTGAGGATGACAATAACACCTGGAATGGAAACTCAACCCAGCAAATGTAGATCTGGAAAAGAAGCTTTGTTTCTGTCCGCTCCAATCCTAACATCTCCGCCACTCTCATCCTTTCCCAGATGAATATTATAATACAGTCATTCTAGAACAGGCTTAATATTATAATGCAGTCATTCTAGATCAGAGTTCACCAACATGGTGCACCAGGTAGCCCCCAAAGACCACATGAGTAGCCCGCCGGCTTGTTCGAAACATAGCTCACCATTGATGGGACACTGATTTTCAAGAAATGTTGTCCAAGGAATCAATCAAAAATGTCAACACAACCAGAGATTCGGAGAAATAGTGTTGCATAATTAATGTTTCCTAATTACGTGAGAAATCAGTAACATGACCAGTGTTTATCCCAGAGATGAATGTCATTAATTATTAAGAACATACACGAATAATATTATTATTAAAGGCAATTTGAGCAAATTTATTCCAGAAGTGTGTTTCAAACTGGCAGCCCTTCACATTAAGATAAGATATCCTTTATTTGTCCCACACTGGGGAAATTTACAGTCTACAGCAGCAAAATTGGGGGTAGAAAGTCAAGAAAAAAAAGTGTTTAATCACTACCCAAGAAGTAGCTCTCAGTTTCAAAAGGGTAGGTTGTTTGCGGCATTGCTTTCTATCTTATGTTTTAATTTCACTTCACTTGTATGGCAAAGTCTAAATTATATTTTATTTGGAAACCAGCTTTTTCTTTTTAAATAGAAAAGAAATACTTTTTTTCCTTTGCTCACACTTGGAGTTATCGCTAACATAGTGAGATTTAATCAACCAACTGTATATTTGTATTAAATTTACTTGGAAGACTGCATCATCCAAAACTCGATAAAAAAAATCCCCGAACTACAAACTGAGTTCTGTTTTGGTTGTTTATCACACCAATGCCAATTCTGCATAGATAGATTAGAAAAGTGTTTTCTCAAACGTATTCCACGCCCAAAAAATACGAATCTCAAAGTACCACCATCATGACGAACATTAAAATAGAGCAGTGCAGAAGGTTTACTGTACAGAGGTTTTATTTTTTATTATGTACGACAGTAATCCCTCATTTTTCATGATTAATGATTAATGGGGACCAGAACCCCCGTGAAAAGGGAAGTACGATTCGCCCCATCCCAAGGAATTTTCGTGTATGTGTATGTGGGTATCCGAATGTTTACAATATGCAAGCAGTATTTATACTTTTACATATTTGAGACAAAGATTACAACAGTACACATATTCACTTAAGATAAGAAACCTTTATTTGTCCCACAACGGAGAAATTTGCAATCTACATCAGCAAAAATTGAAAGGGGGGGAGGGGGGTAGAAAAGAAAAAAAAAGTATTGCATACACAAAATAAATGTTTCAGAAAAAGAACTGTACACAGTATAGAATGCAATATAAAATATAGATATAAGCATATATGATGCATAAGGTGGCTGTGCTATTTACAATGTATGGATGGGGTAAGTCCAGGTTTTTTCACGTTTGTTTATTCAGCAGCCTGACAGCAGTCGGTACGAATGAGCGGCGGTATCTCTCCTTGCAGCGCCGGTGTAACAGTCTCTGGCTGAAGGAGCTACCCAGTGCTGTCAGGGTGGGCTGGAGTGGGTGGGAGGGACTGTCCCATCAAATATTTCATTATACAACCCGGTACAGCAATTAAAATTCATCAACAGTGCCTCCTGAGAGGTGAAGAGGCTTGTGTTGGTGACGTAGAAGGCGGGTTTGGGCTTTAGGTTCACTTCGAGACTCTTCTGCTGGAGGTGTAAGCTTTTGTTAAATTGGTAATTATCATTTAAAGCAGGAAGTGTGATCGTTACCGGAAGAAGGGCTGTTCGAGAGTTACGAGGCAGTCGTTAAAAAAAAGCTGTGTTCAAACGAAGTCCATCTCCCCTTTTTGCCCATTCCGAACGTAGAGCAATCCATCCAAAACCTACGAACCCCCCTCAATTTACAGAGGCACTGGCTGTGTAGCTGGGCTTTTTGAATGGGGGAGAAAAACATGGTGACAGGGAGCGCTATCACGTTAATCTTTACATTAGTTGAAATATGATTCAGGTTTTTTTTTTCTCGGAGGTATTTTTGTATTCCACAAAGTTTTTTTTTAAACTTAGCTGACAGTTTCGGCTGGCATTTTAAGGCTTCATCTGAGCTGTCACTGCTTCCTTGTCACGTGTCTCAAAAACAAGTGACTGGTTTGGGAAACCTTCAAAATAAGGCTCCCTGACCCGCTCAAGTTGCAAACCAACGTGTCCCTGTTAATTATGCCATCTTCAAAGAGTGGGCTTACATGTACCCACACAGCCGGGACGCGTTGCTTCAGTGTTGGCAAGGGGTTGGGGCGCAACTTAATGAATCCAAAAAGTTCGTGCTTGAACAAAAAAAGTTATTGCGAACACAACACTATGATACTGCATGCAAGACAGTCAACAGTGTGACGAGACACAACAATGGAAGGTGCTGAATGAGGCAGCGATGATGCACAAGCCAATCAGCTTACAGGGTAAATCCATTCTAGTGTTTGCGTAGGTCGATGTCGCGCCGTGAACAAATCACGCGCCTTGTATGAGTACCCATTGCATGTACAGTACAGTACTGTACAGGCATGTACAAAGCCTTTGAGTCGTTCCAAAGCCACTCTTGCAGATCAACATGAAACAACACATCTTTCCGCAATTTGAGTTGATCTTGTGCGCATGAGTTGGTCTCGTGTTGGTGCAGGTTTTGAAAATTTCTGGACTCTTCCAAATTTTAATTTTGTATCATGGAAAAACTGATGGAAAAACTGGCTTTTCATGTGCGTGAGAAAGTTTTAATTTTTCAAGTTTTTTTTTTTTTGAAGTGTGTGGGATGGGTGAAGAGTTCTGATGCATGCGAGTATTTTTGGGTGTGTGAGTGAATTTATATGGAGGTGAGATCGATTTCAGGTGAATGTAATAAATCTTTGGATTTGTTATGTTTTTTTTCTTTGTGTATGTTTTTCTGGCAAGAGTTTATTTGCAGTCCATGAGGGATTATTTGGTGAATGCGAGATTTTTGAAGAGAGTGTAATTTTTAGGGTCAATGATAAGATAAGATAAGATAACCTTTATTTGTCCCACACTGGGGAAATTTGCAGTATACAACAGCAAAATTGGGGAGGGGGGGGGGGGAATAAAGTGTTTCAGTGCACAAAATAAAGCGTGTTCTGTGCAAGTGAAAGATTTTCTGGGTGCATGTTCGAGGTGTGAGAGGGCTCTTACTGCAAAGGATAAGACATATCAAAAACGGAGTCACAAGTAGATGATATTTTAAAGAGCTGTATTTAATCAGAAGGAAAAGCAGAGACAACTTAATTTGCTTTTAATTGAAAATACAAAGGACTATGTAAATTCAGCTATGTTTAGCAGTTAAAAAACTATACATTGAAATGTGTTTTAACACAGCAAATTACCTGGTCAACATTGTAAATAAACAACATACATCATTTTGGAAAATTCACTTTTAAACTCAGACATTTAATATTTTTTGTAGGAAGAAAAAACATCTTTAATTTGATGCAACACGTTCTGAGGCTGTCTCATTTTCATTCTCCAGTAAAAGTGGGATTGCTCACAGTAGTGGTGGCATTTTGGAAGAGTGGATTGTCTGCCTGTTAACAAGAGAAGTGACAATGTTAAGGTTAAGCCAGATGCACAATGAGCGATGTAGCTAACCTTTAAAAAATCAGGACAATCACAAATAAGTTCGACACCGACAGTGCCTTGAAAAAGTATTCCTATTACTTCTTCACATTTTGTCACCTTAAAATCACAAACTCAATGAAAAAGAAAAATCTGAAAAATGCGTTGTGCCTTTGTATAACACCCCCCACCCCTCCACGTCAATACTTTGTAGTAGAGGTGGGCATTTTGTCAGGGTGACAATACGTCAGTCTGTCACTCTTTCTGGCACTGCCGACCCACGTGGGCCGAGTCGATACCTTCTCTGCAACAGCCAATCGGCGTTCGAGAACGTAATTTCTACATCACACGCATGAGCCGCACAAGCCAACATTGTGGTCAGCTGCAATTCTTTTGGTGCATTTGTCAACCAGCTTTGTATTCTTTCGCAATGTAGGGTGGTTAGCATGTTGACCTCACAGTGCAGAGGTGCAGGGTTCGATTCCGGCTCCTGCCTCTCTGTGTGGAGTTTGCATGTTCTCCCCAGGGCTGTGTGGGTTTTCTCCAGATACTTTGTTTTCCTCCCACATTCCAAAACATGCATGGCAGGTTAATGGAACACACTTCCCTAGGTAAATTGTCCCTAGGTGTGAGTGTAAGCATGGATCCTTGTTCGTGTCTGTGTGTCCGTCGATGGGCTGGCAAGCGGTTCAGGGTGTCCCCCGCCTACTGCCCGAAGACGTCTGGGATAGGCTCCAGCACGCTCCGTGACCCTTGTGAGGATAAAAGCGGATCAGAAAATATATGTGTGTGTCTAGGCCCCAGGGAAGACCCAGGACACGGTGGACAGAATCCCGGCTGCCCTGACAACATCAAGGGATCCCCAGCTGGATGATGTGGTTATGGATTTAAGTCGTGTGTGTGTGTGTGTTTGTATTTGTGTGTGTGTGTGTGTGTGTGTGAGTAGAATATACAGGACATAAGGTTGTTTGGTGAAAGATGACACTAAAAGCCCATATAGTGTATCTGTCATTTCATAAAACATGTGAAGTATAATGTAAAACAAATTCTCACCTCTGCCCATTTAGATTTCTTCTTTTCACTTTCAAACTTCCGGAACTCTTTGAGATCCTTCATGTAGATAAGCAACTTAATCAGCATTAACAACAAGATGCCAATGAGAGCCACAGATGCAATGGAACCTCCGATGATCGCCGCGACGCTGGGTGGTTCTGGACAGTCTGGAGCGAAACATAAGACAATAGAGTTTGCAAGTACAATGTAAGCATCCAATTGTCGAAAGAAAGCTATTTTTTGTGGACGGATCACTTGGAATACTGATCAATTATTTTCAAAAGTAATGCACCATCAATACTTGTAAGCACAAGAAGTCAGCATGTATACTGTTCATGCAGCTGCAGTCATTGCTTGGTAGCCAATGACAGTGTTGTGGAAATTGTAGAACTCGAAGAAAGCGACAATTTCTCACGTTCGCACTCCGAGAGAGAGTGTCGTGTTTTTTTAATAGCGCACCAAAAAAACGCTCGCGCAAAACGAAACCCGCCGAAAGTCAGTTTCCATAGAAACAAGCAGACTAACATGGCGGTCCTTAAAGGGACTGCAATTATTTCTACCCCGTTACCAAATAATCGTGAACTCTCTGACAAGCATATGAACATTGCATTCACACATTTGCAGTTGGTGGTGAATTATGTACATAGGAGTCACTACAGTGTTTTGATTAATTCCAAAGCTATTATCCTATTTTGCCAGATTTGATAAATTCTCATTTTCTATTGTGCTTCTTATCCTGATGAAGGTCAAGGGTGAGCGACCTGGCCCAGCTGACCTTGGGCAAGAGCTATGGAACAGTGGATGGGTCACCTGCCAATTGTAGGACAGAATTTGTTCCAAAAAAATTGCCCCTCATCACTTGAATGTCGCAAATTGAAAAATATTATCTGGGGCCCGGTCAGTCATAGGCAGTTTGAATGGGCCCATAGATGGCAATGGCGAGTGATGAAAAAAGCGGAAGGGGCGTGGCCGGGGCGTGGCCTGGCCGGGGGCCTGGTTACTTATAAAAGTGGCACTAAACATGCTGAAGATAAAGTGTATTGAATTTACACACTATTTGAAAATTGAACAGAAAAAAATCCCAAGATCGCCACTATTCTTTCAAGTGAAAAGTTGTGCAATTTTGCTTATGCATTCCTGGTGAGCATATGTAACTCCAGATTTGCTGCTCAAAATCAAAACTAAAAAAGTAAACACATTCCCTGCCATATTTAAGATTTGTTCATGACTTGTATTCATAAAGTGATGTGTAAATGTGATAAAAAGCTGTTGATTCTTACCTCATACAGTAACGTCTTTAGTTGTATCCGCTGACTAAGTTTGTTTGAAAAATGCCGATCCCAAAGAATAATTGCT